TCCCAGTTTACACGTTTCTGACAAGACGTCTGCTCTCATTCTTTGTTCCTTGTGCTTACTGAGTCTCTTTACCACCACCATCCCGCCCCCCCCCCCCGTCCTGTTACACTTTCCTTTTAGCACTTAACTGTCAGCTATTTAATTATGGTGTGCCTTGTAGGATTTTCTCTACATTTCTTTCAGTTGGTTTTTTTAAAGCCTTTGTGAATCTGTAGGCTTATACTTTTCATCAAATTTGAAAACTTTTTGGACATTATTTAAGTATTTTTTTTCCATTCTTTCATTTCTCATGTCCTATCCTGAAAGTGCATTTATGCATCTCTTAGCCTGCGGGATACTGTCCCATGACTTATTAATGCTCTGTTCATCATTTTCATTATTGTTTTCCTATCTTTAATTTTAGATTTGTTTCCTGTGTCTTGAAGTCTGTTTTTATCATTTTTTCTCTACAATGTCTAACATGGTGATAATTCAATCCAGTTTTTCATTTTTCATCTAGGACATCAGACTTTATCTCTTGGAGTTTAATTTGGGACTTTTTTTTATATCTCCCATTTATTTCCTTATTATGCTCCTCTCTCTACCTTTTGAACTTTTAGACTATATCTTAGTATCTGTTTTATCTCACAGTATTCTATTCTGTCATCTGTGTCACTTTCTGAGTCTATGTCTATTCATTTTTCTCCTAGTAATGGGTTTTATTTTCCTGGTTCTTTTTGTGCCAGATAATTTTTTTATTGGATGAAGTTGTTCTTACTCATGAACAGTGATCTTTCCCAGGCTTGCTTTTACACTGAGACTGGCCATGCTGACCTTTGCTCTGACACTAACGTATTTGCACTACGGTGGCAGTAACCTCACAGGCTGTCCTGTGTGCCACGTCTCTTAGGAAGCTTTTCCGTCCTGCCGGGTGAGGGTGCCAAGACTTTGGGCTCTGTGTGCGAGCCTGTGATCGTTTTACCTGACCTCTCCTAGTGTCTCTTTTCTTGGCCTCAACATTTTTCTCATATACATGTGCTTCCTATTTGATGGATATTCCCACTGGATGCAGAATTTTAAGATACCTTTTTGTTTTCCATTTAGCCATTTGGATGTATTGTCGCATTGCCTTTTTGCTCTTACCGCCTCTGAGAAGTCTAGGATTATTCTCCTATTATTGTTCCTCTGTAGGTAATGTTTTTTGCCCCCCTCAGAATTTTTAAAAGATTTTCTGTCACTAGTTTTTCTGCGATTTGAATGTGCTCTGACTTCTTATGTTCCGATTGTTCATGCATGTTTGAGTTTTCATCATGTTGAGGTTCATTGAGATATGCAGATCTATGCATTTATTATTTTTTATCTCTAGACGTCCCATTTATTTCTACTTCTATTTTCCTTTATCTCTTCTTTCTGTTCATATGCTGTTTTTAAGTCAGTCTGTTAACTTCATCATCCCTGCTGTTCTTAAGGTCTTTCTAAAGACTGATTTTTCTCTTGGTTATACGTCATATTTCCTGCATCTCCTTATGTCTAGTAATTGTTGATGGATACCAGATCATCGGAATTTTACATGAATGCCTGGATTTTGTTGTCCTCTCCGTATTTGTTAACTTTTGTGGGTTTAACTTTGACTGTTTTGAAATGTCTACTGGTTATTCGGTAATGACACTGTTCTTACTGGTTAGAAATTGAATGTCTCTCAACTCTGAGCGAGTGCCGGGAATTATTTGGCATACAGACCTCCATTCCTTCTCTGCTTGTTCTCACAGAGTTTAACCTTACGCACGCATTTCTTGTACCCCGCAGCAGACTCGACTGTGCAGATTTTGTGTAGCTTCTTCCTCACTGGTGTTCGTTCTGTCCTGCAAATGCCATCTACCTCATCCTACTCAAAATCTGCTTTTCACTCTCCAACAGTGAGACCTCTGAGTTATGCTTGGGATCAATCCTTTTCTGCCGGTAATGTGTTCCACAAAGTGCCCTTGGACAGAAGTCTGGTGGCTTTAGGGCTCACTCATTTGTTTCTCTCTTCACAAAGATCTTGGTCCTGCAGTGCCTATTGTCCAATATCTTAAGAGAATTCTGTTATATACTTTTCCCAGTTACCATTTTTCTGTTTTATGTGTTTTTGCCCAGTTGTGTAGGGCAAGAGGGTAAGCCGGGTCCCATGAACTTTTTATCCTTATTTTCTAGGTTTTCAATTAGTTGAATATTTTATATTTAGCTATGAGTTACATCAGAAATTTATTTTGATAAACTATTAGATGAAAATCTAACTTTATTTTTCAACATAGTATGAAGGCTGTGTTTGCATTTTTTTCATATATACTGCTACAGAGAATATCCTTTCATAGAAGACTTCTGCATTTCCTTTTTTAAAAAGGAAATTTCTAGAAGAAGAACTATGGTACTTTTAGTATCTATTGCCATTTGCCCTGTGAAGAGTTTCTGCTATCTGCTTACATCCCCGCTACCAGTGTATAAAGATACTGATCTCCCAACACTTTCACTGAAATGCTATTTCTGGATATGCAAAATTGTCTCATTTATGTTTTTATCTTGCCTTCATTGATTATTATAAGCTGGCATATTTTCATGAACTGTATTCATTTGTATTCCTCTCATTTTACTAGTCTATGTCCTTCCCCCTTTTCCCTTGTGTTTTAGTCTTTTATTTTTTTATATGATTAATCTGTATGCCATCTTTTTCTCTTCCTAGTGCCCAATACAGTGACTTTAAAATAATTAATGCTCACTAAATGGGAAGTTGGTTCAAAGCCAAGGTAGAAACTGAGAAGGAATATCCAGAGTTAGGGAGAAAATCAGGAGAGAGCTGAATCACCAAAGCCAAGGAACATGTTCAAGGAGGAGGCCAAGAGCCAATGTCCTCAGGTGCAGACCAGGAAGAAGTGCAGACTATAAATAGATCATTGGATTTGGCAATTAAGAGATTCTTGGTTATCTTAGCAAGAATCAGTTCTATAAGGTAACAAGGGTAGACATCAGAGGACAGCAGATTGAGAAATAGCATTCTTCTCCTTAAGTATCATTTTTTTAGCTGATATTTTTATAGAAATTGGCTGGGAGACAAATTGAAGAATATGGTCTAAATAAAGATCTAGAAGCCTGCATGTATTATATTGATTTAGGGAGGCTCTATCTATGTCTTTTATAGAGTAGATGAGTAAGTAGTAGGCTTGACATTATTTTTATAAAATTTAGAAATATTGTTTATATTTTCACCCCATTAGAAGATTGTCATAAATGTACTTAGAGATCACAGGGGTTCCTTCATCCAAGTTAGTGATATTTTGAATAAAGCATGGCAGAAATTATTCTGACCCAGAAATTTTTCAGAATGGTTTTACTGATGATCTATGCTTCTTTCTACTTCTCATCCTCATTTGAATGGTAATGCATTAAGAGTATTATATCTGCCTGTATAAAATGAGTGAATTTTAAGAAATACCCCTGAGTAATTGTATGCATTGGTTTGATTTTTGGCATACTATATTGGATCATTTGTAAGACATATTTAACGTTTCTGCAGTCAGAATGCCTTTGATATTTGATGGTTTATTATAGCTTTAATTGACAACTTTTTTTGTTTCTTACCATTAACTTAAAATGATGATGGAGTTCCAATCAAGAACATCTTAGATTTGATAAAATATGACAAGAAAGTAGAGAGCATTAGAGTTTAGAGACTATCTGCCAAGTATTTTAGTTTTACTATAACTAATGTTAAGCCAGTCTTTTTTGGCAATTGTTAAGTCATATTCCCTCCTGCTCTTTATTGTGACAATGGGTTATGCATAAAATAGATCTTAAAATAATGATAGACTCTTAAGTGTAGGTGGAAAACAGGGAAGAAATCTGTCAGTAGAAATCTATTTTATGTTGCCTAAATTATGATTTGGTGTGTGAAGAACAAATCTTGGTTAACCGTCATTCTTACACACTTGTCGGAGCGCTAAGAGTCCATAATCCATGTGAAGGTGTAGTTAATTTGTGGTCTTGTAGTCAAGGATACACTGATTGATTGGTTCATTTCTTTAACCACAGACGTGTATTGGGTACCTACTGTGATACCTAGCAGTGTATCAGCACTGTCAACAGTCTTCCATTGTTCTTGGCGGATTTCTTAATAGAGTGAGATAGTACATTGGAAGTCAAATCATAGTGCCTGGAACCTGCTCCTTCCCCATATGCGTTGTTGAACTGAGATGAGATAGGCAGTTCCATAAATGAGGAGCTGGCCTAAATGGAGAGTTGGGTGTGTGGACACAGTGAGCTCCCAGGAAATGCCTGTTGACTGTGGAGTGGTCTGTCCTATAGGTGATGAATAGAAGTGAAAGAGCATGTGGTTTAAATGATTATATGAGGGGAGGTTTGTGTTGTGGTTATTACTATAAGAGGAAATAACAGGAGCTTCTCAGTCCCTTTTGGCCATTACTAAAGTGAAAACTTGAAGCCTTATGATTTGTCATTGTAGAAAACATTGAAACTTTGAAAACATTTCTAGGGATCTGAGGAAGCATGGACGGTTGTAGAATATAACAAGCTCACATCCATCAGTTTTAGCAAATCAGCAGTCCTTTCTTTGAAATCAAATGTAAATCAAATAATTAAGTAGAAATATTACATCTCTGTTGTGTACATTTATTTTAATCATGTCTCAATGCCTCATTCTTGAAAGAGTGAAGCAACAGTATAGCAAGGGGGAAATGCAATCTGATGATGCTTACTTTTTTCTTCTGGTAAGTGAAGGTTAAATGGGTAGCAAGCAGAATGCCTTCAACAAGATTGGTATATTGATTAAAACGCTGATTTAACAGCTCGCAGTCTCCCCTTGGAAACCTGGAGAAGATAAGCAGCAGCTGTGTAAAAGTGCTCAGTGCCCACTGAGAGCGCACCATCTATCATCACAATATGGTGATGGGAGGTGTTTCATGTTTGTGTTAATTTCCCCCACTAAATCAGTAATTATTACAATCCTGTCCCTGCTGTTTACCCTGCAGCTGTTTTTCCATTTGTCGAGAGAGCGGGTGTTCTCCGAGGACCGCACACGTTTCTATGGTGCAGAAATTGTCTCTGCTTTGGACTATCTACATTCCGGAAAGATTGTGTACCGTGATCTCAAGGTAAAAAAAAAAAAAGTAATCAAAATTTGTTCTTGCAGAGACTATAGGGACAAACACAAAGTAATTACAAAGTTACACAGTTTGGAGAAAAGCAGATTTAGTTGGGAAAAAAAGAAGCACTCTGTTTAAGAATGTAGTTCATCGCATTTGACAGGAATTCCATTCACTGATATGTACATAGTTCCTTTATGTCTGAGTTTTTGACGTGTGCCATAATTTCTGCTTGACTGCTCTGACCTACCAATAATAGTTTTATTTTTCTGGAAATTTTTGAGTAATGGTAAACATTCAATTAAGAGCCAAGTGACTTTGCCAGGGACATTCTAAAGTAGGTTTCATTATTACATCCTACCATCAACGCTATGATGTATAATGGAGAAACTTTTATCATATGTAAGATATTTATTGGGGGGAAATATTTAATTTGATTTTTGTCTTCACTTTGTGATGGGTTTAAATACCTGGAGCATTTTAATATAGCCTTTTATTAATTCATTTAGTTTCCATTTCAAAAAGCACCATATTGTTTTATGGGCAATAGTGACTTGACTTCTCTGAGTTCCTTCCTGATGAGATGCTTGGAACAGCTCAGGGACTGACATACTTTCAGTGGGCTTTGCTGCCCATTGTCGCTTCTGCACCTGCTCCGTCCCACTCCTGCAGGGCAGTAGGGCTTGAGCGTGGCTGGCTGTGTTCTGATAAAACTTTGTTTACAAAAACGGGCAGTAGGCTCAGTTTCGCTCATGGGCCATAGTTTGCTGAGCCCTGGAGTAGCTCATGAAAGGCAGTGGCAGTGCTCATGACACTGTTGAAAGATTGACCACGATATGGAAATGTGTACCATGGCACGTTTTGAACACATTCTAGATGTGACTATCTTACTTTTGTAAAAAGTAAATCATATAGCAATCTTGACTTACTAAGATTTGATACAGAGTTGCTGAATTTATTAACTATCAGTTCATTTAAAGTATGATTTGATTTGGAGAAATAGAAGTCTTTTATGAAATCCCATCTGTACGAAACACATCTACATACTCTAAAAGAAATCACACTTATCTCCTCACTCCCACCTCACTCCTTTTAAATGCCTGTGGTTCCTAAGTTATCTGTCTAAGCACTTGTCTAGGTTCTCTCTAGGGTGTTCTTATCATGTACCTTTATGCTGTGAATGACCTTAAGGCATAACCCCCTCGCAAAGTATTATTCTCTACGCTGACAATGAAATTTATAGTATGTATGTTTGTATAGCATGTTATGCATTAACGATTAAAAGAAGCTATAAATACTACATTTAGGAAAAATGAACTATGCAACTCTGAACCACCTAGATCAGGCATGAGCAGCCATCCAAATGCCACAGTGCACCGGAGATGAATCCAGATCAACAGTATGATTATATTTAGCTTGAAGTCTTTATAACCAGGAATGTAATAGAATTAAGCCTCTGTAGTTGATGTCTGTGTGGCCAAATAATCCGATGATGTTTACATGTCTTGAATCTAGATGTTTTTTAAAGAAAATAGTTATATGGAATGATGAAACTTAGTAAGTTACATGGCATTTTCAAACTTACTTAGAAATAGTTAGCTCTTCTCAGAGGTTGCTCTCCCCAAGCATGAAGTGTTACATTTTATGGGTCCTACTTGTAGTTTTAAAAAGGGGTTTCTTCGATTTAAGGAAATGAGAATAATTTGGAGGTACTCAGTAACATATTCAAAATGCTTAGGCTGAAAGTAGGAACTATTAACCTAAAGAAACAAGGGAAGGAATGCCCATTTGATTGCCAGCCCTGATTAAGGAATGATATAATGGGGATGGTCTTGGTCAGTCAGTAGTCTTTGTTAATCATTTCTTCTTAAATGAATCAACATGTTGGTATATCAAAGTGCATTTAGTAGGAGTTTCATTGCCCTGTCCTTTCTGATGACCAAAATTCTTAAACAGCAGTATGTATAAATACCAGTCCATGTAGTTACCATATGCATAGACCACTGACTTTACTAGACAATTAGGTAGTCTCTGCTCTCTTAAGTTTATTTTTTTTAACTTAAGGCCTAAGTAAATATGTAACACAGGACAGAAGCCACACGAATATACACCAAGAAGAATACATGTAATGTTAAAAGCCAGGCATTCAAATTCATACAAGTGTTATTTGTATCCGTAGCACACAGGATTTTGCATAATAGAATGCAATCCTGTATAGGTGGGATCGTCGATATTTCAAGTTGGTCTGTACTTGACAGGTGAGGTCATGGAAACCTAGAAGCCTAGCAGGTGACTTACTTGAAGTCCAGGACTAAGTTGGTGACATGGTCAAGATTATGGAAACCATGAATCCTAGCTCCAGGCCCCGTGTCCTGCTCCTTACACCCTTCTGCCTTTCTAGAGTTGAAATGAGATCTGCGTGGGGGAGGGAATGCATTGGAGTAGCTCTGGGAGATCTTTGTAAATCTAAAATTTGGATAAAGCTGCCAAAGATAAGAGAATGGATGTTTTAAATATATTTACACCAGATACATTAAAAACAGCATCATCAAAAACTGATTTAGGTACCCACTTTAATTGATCAGGCTCAGATTTGTCTTGATCATCTCCTTGCTAATGATCTTATGTTTATTCAAACGCAAATCCATTTGAGATGCCTGTCATAGCTGTGCCTCTCAAGGAAATCTGTACCTATTTGCTGACGCCCCATTTACCATTGGAGGGAAAGCCTTACTTCATGTGCAAGTTAATTTAAGATATTTTATCAATTCATAGTTCCTAATAAGTTGGTGTTCATAGCAGCAGATAAATTATTACACTTTGTTACACTTCTAAAAGTAAGTTTGCTTAGTTTATCAATAGATGTCATAATACGAAATTCTGTTTTAGTAAGGACCCAGATTCCTTGTGATTAATTAGGAAAAACTGGTATATCTTCATGATAGCATCAAAATTTGAAGAAATCTCTTTTAAGATTTCGGCAGTAATGCAAAATATGTTAAAATCTTCCTTTCTGCTTAGTTCTTACTTTGCAAGTGAAAGCTTTCTTTTCAAAGGCCATGCCATCCAAGTACAGATTAGGCTGAATAGGGACATATGCAAAAGTGCATATAAGGATACTGGAATTCTTGAAGAATTAACTTCTCCGAGAGTTTATAACAGGGCAAGGGGCAGAAAATCATACATAAATCGCTACTACATTCTATTGGTGATTCATCTAATCTTGTTTTCTGCCTAGAGAGTTTAATGGTTAATGTAACCATTTACATTATTAACATGAGAAACCAACAAATAGATTTAGGTAATTTCCAGGTCTTCGTGCCAGCACAAAAGGATGGGCTGAGAATCTTTTCAGTCTTCATCAGCTCCCTAACGCTCGCCCCAGATAAGCTTGCAGTCTAACCGAGAGCAGGGTTCTTGTTGCTTTACCTACCAAGTCTCAAGACTCATCCCCCAGCTACCACTTCTAACCAATCACCCTGGATTCCCTCTTCTATAAAAATTTTAAGCCACTGCTATTAAGAACCCCTTCACCCTCTAAAATTATATTGTACTATTGGGCTGCATTCCTTATGTGTAGTCTAATTCTTAAGCAGCCTGGCCACCTTAGTGGGGTCTCCGCCATTGTACATTATGAATCCTTTTCTAGCTCAGGCAAGTTGAAAGTGGAGACGTGTTTTCCTTCAGTATTTCCACACTCTTAACTTCAGGGTCATTAAGGTCCTGCAGGTTAACTTGTATGACATGTTGGCACTTTGGTAGGCCTAAACCTGAGAATGCAACATGCAGAGGACAGATTCCTGATTTCATTTTCGGGCCGGAGGCAGTCTGGGTACCGAACATTGGGTTTGTTGTAACTGAGCCAAAATGGGGTGTTAAGAGTGAGTGAAGGGGATTGTTCATACCTGCTCCGACTGCCCTCTGAGCCCTTAGGAACTGCTGTTTTCGTTCCTTTGTTGAATCACGGTGTCAGCCATTTAAATGAAATGATACCTAAGAGATACATATGGTAGCGAGACACTAGAATGTGTGTCTATATTAGAATATTAGAGAGTATACAAAACTTAGCCAGCCTAGCCAGCCTGGCGTACATCAGAGCAAAGCTTCCCAGCCTGTGCACCACAAATGGGTTACAGGTGAGCCCGAGCCATGGAGCCTCTGGGCCAGTCAGTTCTGGCTTCAAGCAGCCCATCTGCTGATCCTGCTTACGCCCTACACATTTCATTTTTTATTGTACTGTGAAGTGCTGAGAAGCACTGTATTAAAGACAGCAAGGATTTTTAGAGTTTAATTCTATGGGGGTTGGGGGCACCAGCATGAACAAGAAGGAGCATAGTACTTTCTTGCTCTGATTTCTTGTCCACAAAGCACAGAGGGCAAAAAGATGTCAAAATCTACTATATTTTTTTGTATATACACTGAATCAAGACCTATCAGGTAACGGCTGTCCGCTTCTGCTGGGGGAAAATGTTGCCCTTTTTTATGGGAACTCTGTGAGGTATAGGTCTAATATTTTCTCTCTTCTCAAAGAATGAACTGTTAGAAAGCAACCCCCTCTAACTGGACAGAGAGTAAGCATCACTTGAATTTTTAATATATAATCTTTTCTCTCAAACCTCCTATTTGACTTCGTCATGGCTTTTGCCAGTGGATGCATCCATGGAGCATAAACATAATGCCTGCTCTCAGTCTTGGAAACTAAGATTGTTTGGAGGTAAAAACAGATGAATTTGAAATTTATAAATGGAGAGTACCTGAGCAGTCAGTGACACTGTGCGTTGTGCACTTTGCAGCCAACCCAAGCAAGAAGGACAGCCATGAAATTGAGGAAAGAGAACCAAGGAGAGATCGTTTGTAAATGTTTTAATTTCTCCTTGACACAGAATGTGTGACTAAATCTCCTTTAGTGTTAAATGCACAGAGGAAGTGATTTCCAGGTGATTTTGATCCGATCTAAGCCATTGATCTGCCTTGAAAAGACTTCCATGTGATTCTGTGCATCTTCCACATTCGTTAATCACAATGCTGATGGTTCTTAACATTTTACAGAAAGTTTGTTTTGCATCTGTGTTGAATTATTACTTATTTTTAAACAAGACTGGATATTTAGTTACCCCCGATTTATCCTTATACAAGAGTAGGTTTGGGGATCACTTCTGTAAAGTGATACATCTCTATTATTGATTCTTTTTGATGAGTAAGTTGTTTTTGTCAGTCGTGCTCAGTAAAATGACATTTCAGGATGTCCAGAGAGCAAAAATAAATGATGGGAGAAGGTGGACACCATGAAAAAACTGGCTCAAAAATTATGAAGTATTTGTGTTTTGTTATTTTAGTCAATAGAAATTATTGCATGTTGACAGTATTTTTAATAAAGTCACTGAGCTGCTCAAAGATGCTCATCTCTTTGGGATTGTTTAGATCACAATTTATTAAGAAAAAAGAAAAGGATTGCTGTTTGCTTTGAAAAGTTATTTAGGTTTTAGTTCTCAGAAAGTTCCGTTCCTGAACTTTCCTGTGTTGTCTCGAAGAGCACACACCATTGTGATAACTTATAATTTAGCCATTAAGTTCTCCACGTTTAATAAATGATCAGTACATTTATTGAATGTGTGCGGTGTGTAAAGTTCCGCATTCAGTATCTCTAATTCTCAAAGCAATCACGTTGGATGCTACTGTTATTTACCTCTGTTTCATAGACGAAGTTGAGAGACACAGAAATCAACAACATGCCCAAAGTCACACAGTGAGTAAGGGCAAAGCTTGAGTTGACATATGTGTTCTCTGACTTGACTCCATATTTATAAAATAAGTAGGAAGATCAACTGTCTTGGTTTGCCCCAGGCTTCCCCAGTTACAGAACTTGTAAGTCTTGTGTCCTGGGAAACCCCCTCAGTTCTGGGCAGACTGAGACTCTTGGTCATGTTCACCCTGTTCCTTTTTCCAACTCTATCCTGCGTCTTGGTTCCTTCCTCATCCCTCAACCCCTGGCATCTTAGAGCTGAGATAGGAGGCTAGAGAACAGGTGCAAATCGGGATTTTAAAAAATATACACACTTTTTGGTATTAAAAAACAGTGTTTTTTTAAGAACTTCTGTCTCCATTCACTTCCAGATAGCCTTGTCAAAATGTAGAGAAATGGTGCATGCTATCATGTTTCCGTGAATACTTTCCAATGCATATAAAGCGTATAGAGAGGAGTGACATAACATACTCCTGACACAGACAGGAGCGGGAATGGAATGGACTATAGACGGCACATTCACATTCTCTTCAGTACTATTATGTATTATTTGAAGTTTTTATAAGAATTTTTATGTATTATGTTAATAAAAGAGATTTACTAAATATTTTTAAAAGACCTTTCAGCATGTTAAGAATTTAATTTGGTTTTGTTTTTTATATGATATATTCATATATTAAAACAATATGCATATTTTTTAAAATGAAGAAAGCAGGGCATTTATATTTTCATTCAACAAAATAGTAGACTCTCCCGGTATATACTTCTCAGTAGAGAGAGAAGAGGAGGGTGTTTTTGAAAGTGAAGGAAAAAGGATAGAAAACCAAAAGCATAAAGAAAAGAAAGAACAAAGCAGGGAGTGGTGATCAGAAGAAAGGGAAGTAGACAGAGTCTTTCTTGATGTTTCTGACTGGTTTCAGTATTCAGGCCCTGTTGCCATCTGTGTAAATTAGGCTTGATTTTTAAGTTCCAGTTAGTAGAGGAGCATAAGGAAGATGCATGATATCTGAATTTAGATAAAATAAAAGAACTTCTATTTTTGAAAGGTTCAAAATATATTTAGGGTTTGTTCACCTTCCTGTAGACCAGTGAAAAACTCACTTCACTGAAGTCTCTACAGTTCATGAGACATGTACTGAGCATTTAGTTCAGCCAGTACTGTACCCAGAGACTTAGGTCTGTTCTCATCTTTCCTTCAGTGAGCATTACTTCCTTAACTGTATTTGGTTTCTCGTGTATAAGACTTGGATACTGTGACAAAGTATACTATCACATTTTCTATGATTGATATCTGTTTATATTCTTATATGGAGTTCTGTTTTGAAATTGATACTGACTTCAAAGTTCAGGTAAGCACTGTCATATGTCATCACATGAAGGAGAATAAGTCTTCACTCCTTAAATAAGCTAATTGTCATTTTTCCTGCTAGTACATTTTTCACATTTGTTTCTTGTGTATGTGTTTCTTGTATGTACCTTCAGGTTACATCTAGATGACTGAGCAAGCTTAGGAGCCTTGTCTATATAAGGCTATAGGATCACAAGCTAGACCTCATATGTATCTTTGTGTGATGATAATCATAAGGTTGGGTTCACATTGGGAGGAAAAGATCAGTTATTGTTGCTATTTTTAATTGCATTGATATTGCACAAACTCCTTTCCCTCTTACATTTTATCATTTTCACTTGAGGCAAATGATCTTGATACTTGGTTAAATCTTTAAAATTCTCTTTGGTGTTTTTGAATTAACGGGTTCAAAGAGATTCCAGTTTTATAATATTTGTGCTATATATTTTCATTAACTGTTGAATGTTTGACTTTGATATTCTTTTTCTTTTTATGTTTAAAAGGGTTGGTATTTCTTTATTACAAAGATCTTCAAAAGAGGATATCGCCTTACCTTACAAAATAAGATTTAGGTTTGATTTACAACAACCACCAAAAAACATTTCTGTAAGTGAATATTTTATAATAGCAATAGATTCCCAAGAGCAATTGTTGAAAACCATCTGTATATATCTAGAAGAAGATGCTCGTCTCTTTGGGATTGTTTAGATCACAATTTATTAAGAAAAAAAAAAGGATTGCTGTTTGCTTTGAAAAGTTATTTAGGTTTTAGTTCTCAGAGCTTACACAATAATGGCTCTTACTCCCATTGGTTTAAAAATCAATAATTTTATCATCGTGAAGTATTTGATAAAACATACTTCTTTTCACACATGAGTTAGGAAGCTATAGGGTTTGTAAGTGCTGCAAGTTCTATTAACTACAGCTATGTCCTCTTTCCAAAATACCTTACTCAGCATTCAGTAATTTTTCAAAACAGTATTTTCCTATTTTTGAAAACTATAAAACAAATTATGTCATTTTTCTTACTACACAGTTGGAGAATTTAATGCTGGATAAAGATGGCCACATAAAAATTACAGATTTTGGACTTTGCAAAGAAGGGATCACAGATGCAGCCACCATGAAGACATTCTGTGGCACACCAGAATATCTGGCACCAGAGGTAGGCTATGCTTTCATTCGGAGGAAAAATCTAATATGGCCATATGTTTTGCAAAGTAAACCATTTAGCATTAAAAAACATTGCGGTATCTACTATGTCTTATTTTTAATTCCAGTATAGTTAACATGCAGTGTTATGTCGATTTCAGGTATATAATATAGTGATTCAACATTTCCGTACATTACTCAGTGCTCATCATGATAAGTGGACTCTTACTAATCCCTGTCACCTATTTCGCCCATCCCCCCACCCACCTCCCCTCTGGTGACCACCAGTGTGTTCTCTAGAGTTAAGAGTTTGTTTCTTGGTTTGTCTCTCTCTCTTTTTTTCCCTTTGCTCGTTTGTTTTGTTTCTTAAATTCCACCAACACGAATCACATCTATTTTGCTCTCACTTGTTTAGCATGGGATTATAGAGCAAAAATATGTAGCAATTATATTTTATGAGCACAAAGGTGCTAACTTCAGTAGAGTAAGTCAGTTTTTATGTTTTGGCCACATACATTTTATTTCTTGATTATGCCCATTTTGATTCATTTATTAAAATCAGGTAATTGAATAGCATCAGCAGGAATGTTTGCAGTTTTATAAGCTATCTTGGATTTTCCTTCAAAACAAAGAAACAATGATAATTGACATTCGCAGTGTTGTGGATTTCCATATTTCATTATTGGAAAGTATTTTATAGGGAAAGTTAATGAAAGGACACTAGCTACATCTTGGAATTCATGCCAAAGCAAGTCCCAACCAGTGACCTCCCCATGCTGAAGGTTCCATAATAATTTGTGAATTTGTTTATTCAACAAATATATATTACATATCTCCTATGTATTGGGTATTTGTCTGGGTGATGTGGTTACAGGAGCAAGACACAAAAGACCCCGCTCTCTGGAGCGAAACAATAAAAATAAGTAAATACCCTAATGTCATCTAATGACTAGGAGGCCCAGGGAGAAAAATAAAGCTGGATAAAGGGAAGGGTGTGGTGTGGTGGCTATTTTAGATAGAGTTCAAATTACTATGGCCTTGTAACAAAGCACTCCAAATCCTAATGGTGAAAAACAAGCATTTTATGTGCTCTCTGGTTCAGAGTCAAGAATAGTCAGGGGACAACAGGGATGACTTATCTCTGCCCCACAGCATGTGGGGCCTCAACCAGAAGGACTTCACAGCAGCAGGGTGACTGTGGCTGGAGGCTGGCGAGCGGAAGCATCCTCACTCATCTGACAGTCGGTGCTCCTGTCCGCCGCTACCCTGACAGGCCATCACCTGGAGCCTTGACCGAGAGCCTCAGCCTCGCCAGGTGGTCCAGACCTCTTCAGCCTTGGGTTCCACAAGTGAATGTCCTGAGGAACGAGTCACAGGCTGTTTCCCCTTGTTTTGTTTTGTTTTGTTAGGTTTTGTTGTTATTGTTGTTGTTCACCTAGTAGACCATTAAGAAATGTTTTATTAGTTTTTTGCAAAGTCCTTTTCATAGTATATTTGTAATAACTTTACTGGAGTTCAGGCCACCTACCATACCATTCAGCAGTGGTTTTTATTATGTTCACAGAGTTGTGCGACTGTCAGCACCATCTAATTCCGGAGTATTTTCATTACTCTGACAACACAACCCATACCCATTAGCTCCTCTCCCCCCAGGCAGCCACAATCCACTTTCTGTCTCTACAGGTGTGCCTCTTCTGGACATTTCCTATCAATGGAGTCCTATAATAGGGGGCCGATTGTGTCTGGCTTCTTTCATGTTGTAGGTTTTCAAGATTCATCCATGTTTTTAGCATTTTCTTGGTACTTCATTCCTTTTAATGGCCAAATAATATTCCATTGTATGGATATGCCACATTTTGTTTATCCATTCAGCAGTCGACGGACATTTGGTTTGCTTCCAGTTTGGGGCTGTAATGCTGCTGTGAACACTCGTGCATGTGTCTCCTTCTATGGCCTGGTTCCAAGAACCACACATCGTCTCTGTCATAGGCTTCCTGGTTAGGCATTCCAAGCCAACACCAGTTGAAAAGGTGTTGTAGTGACGTTGACTCCCCCTTCCCCGTCGTAGAAGACCATGGGAGACAGGAGATACTGTTGCAGCTGTCTTTGGAAGATACGGTCTTCTGTGGGCAGGATGCGCGGGAAAGTGGTGGTTGACCAGACAGCTGAATGCTAAGAAGGAGGCAGCTATTGCGGAAGTGGAGGGGATGAGCTTTGCAGACACGGAGAGCAGTTAGCGTAAAACCCTGAGGCAGGAACGAGCCCAGTTCCTCCCTCAGACTCTGGGAAGGTTGGTGTGGCTGAAGCCAAATAGGGAGGCGCTGATCTTTGATGGACGGATATTAGCTTATTGAACATCTGCTGTGTATGTGTGCTGCATGTTTGGAATGACCTTTTGCGATAGCATCCCTGATAGTTTTTTTAAAGGTGAGGGGACTGAGGATCAGAACTTCTTTTTTAATGGAGTCTGTACACCACAGGGATTTGTCGGAGAGAGGATCAGGAGTCTAACTAGGTCCATCTTATACAGGCCACTCTTCCTTTTTTAACTACATGTATTATGGCCCCCAAACCACAATTTCAAGACCACTTATAGATGTCAATAATTGTCATTTTTAAGGTGAATGCTTTATAAATGCTCAAAAGGAAAAGGTAATTAAATTAAGAAGTAGGAATACATCGAGAACCCTAGCATTCCCTATATACATGTAGTAACTCATACCAGTTTGTTATTATAATGGGTTTTTTTTTCAATTAGAGAGTAAATTTACATTTCAAGAATGTTGCATTATTATAAATAAGTGCTAATAATTTGAAATACAGTACATTTCCAAATATTTTCTTGAAGGCTGCCAACAATATTATTTTCTCTGTTATAAAATCTGGAGTTTAAGATCCTCCCATTTGGGGCACCTGGGTGGCTCAGTTGGTTAAGATCCTCCCATTTTTGTGGCGAATTAAGTAAAATTTTCGGAACACTTCCTTATTTATTCAAATATGAGATCATATTTTCTAGAATAGGTTGTATTTGTGAATGTCATGAAAAACAAATCCTTTGTTTCTCTGGAATTCAAGTAACCCCTGTGATCCTTGGCCACAGATGATGCCATCCTGTATTGAGAATAACAAAATTAGTTGTGTCACAATTAGGGAAATTATTTCTGAAGAAGATAAACACATCTCATTTCATTCAGAAGCAGATGATCTAAGAGACAAAGATACTGTTTTACATGTTTATATCATCAGCTGAAGAACAAAACCAAGAGTTTCATGCAAGAAGGGTCCAGTTGTTTCTAAAGTGAAACTTTACAATTCCCAAGAAATTATCGATTTCTTTTTAAAAAGAAGTAAGAAACATTTCTGTGTACCTTTTTTTTTTTTTTTTTTTAATATTGCAGACGTCTGGTCTTTAACAGCATTTTCTGTACCCATAGCTGATATGTGTTGATCCATAATTACGGTCTCAATCCCTCTTTTTTCTATCACTGTCGTTACCATTTGGGGATGACAATTCCTGAAACAGCTAACTTCTCATGCAATTTAAATTCTTCCATTTTAAGTATTTGTGTCAATCATGGAATTTTTGTTAAATAGGGGTAACTTTGAATGTGTTTACTCTTACTTTTAAGAACAAGAATTTTAAGTCCCTTTCTCCGGTCTCCGATGTGGACCATTTCACTGAAGAACACTCTCGTTTGCTCAGGAGATACTTACAGAGTATTTATTAGGGGTCATGCGTTGTGTCATTGGCTGGGAATAAAAGATAGTAAGAAATGGTTTTTGTCCTCAAGTAGCTTGCTGTTTACCAGGGTGATAAGAGACAGAAAACAATCATTACTGTGCAAGAAAATAATTGCTTTCCTGGAGTTGTGCCCAGGGTCGTGGGAGGAGAAGGGTGTGTCAGCCTGCCGGGAGGGCCCAGTGGCAGTGAACAGGGAGCAGGAAGACAGGGGGCTGGATACAGAGATGGGGACTGAAATGCAAAGGAGTTTAGCTTTGATCTCTGGATAAAGGAAAGTCACTTTGGAATTGAGAACAAGGCAATAATGTGATCAGATGAACATGATCAGAGTCAGAGGGGTGGGCAAGAGCCCTTGAGATGGTGTCTCTCACTTTCCTTGAACCTTGAAATTTCTAGTACATTCCATCATCAATGCCAGACTTTTCTCCATGGTATGTAAGTCATAGTTGCTTATCAGACCTGCAATACATTCCCGATCACTGCTTCTCTTGTGAGTGGCTCATTGTCAGCGTTGTCTCTTCCTACACAAGACTTGTTTACACACTGTGGAGAGAGCTCAGGCCTCCTGTGTCTCATCTAGCAGTGTCACCCTCTGCCTTTTACTTTGCCTTCACCTGGCAGAATGCTCTTCTCCTTAAAGATCCACGAAGGCTATGAAAAGATACTTCAAAAAAGACTTAGGGATCAGGTCAAAACCGATTGTTAACTGTCCGACATGTCAGACTCATAGCTGGTGTTAAAGACAAATTTTAAGTAAGCTTAAGTTTCTTCTTGTAGCATAGAACACCGGGAAAGATGACTCTTACAGTATAAAAATGCCATTTCTTGGAAAAAGAGTATTTACAAGTATTTGTTCTCTTACCTCTTTTGGTAAAGAATTAAGAGGTATTTATTGGTAAAGGAAAAAAAATCATGTCTTTTTTTTAAGAGGTTGGAGAGACACAGTGCTAGCAGGCATATAAAGTACGCATTTAGTATCCTACATCTCTAAAAATGCATTTGTATCTGGTTTTAAATGAATGTGTTTTTGCTCTTATATTAGAAAGAAACCTTACCTGCCATACATTATGGACGATAAGATATTTCGAGAGAATTTTGTTTTTTAAATTGATACTATATTTTCCACGTAGAAATTCAAAAAGAAATTGGAAATCACATATAAAATCTTACTGTTAAATTTTATTATTTGATTTGGCTCTCATTGAATCCAAACCATTTTATGCAGTGCTAATTATTTAGCCTCAGCTTTGCTCTTGAGTTAGCAGTACCTG